TGAGATGGTTGGACAGTGTTCTCGAAGCTACCAGCATGAGTTTGACCAAACTGCGGGAGGCAGTGGAAGACAGGAGTGCCTGGCGTGCTCTGGTCCATGGAGTCACAAAGAGTCGGACACGACTAAATGACTAAACAACAACAAAATGATAGAAGTTCCTCTGGGCGGGGCGAGGGGGGGATGGGAGTCTAGCTTGCTGTCCTGGGCAAAGAATTTCCAACCAAAAGCACCTCATCACCCTCCAACCAATAACAATGGACCTAGCAATTAGGCAGCCTCTCTTTCACACTGTGCTCAGCAACAGGATTTCCTCCAAAACCAACAAGGGCTCAAGTCGGCTCCTAATTCAGGGGGATGTGCAGAGAGCAGGTGCAAAAGGGGAATCAGTCACCTGCGCCACCAACAGCTCTGCAGAAGGGGCAGGTTTCAGCAGGAACAGATGACCACGTTTGCCCTGGGCTCCTTCGGCAAGACGACGGGATATACATTTAACAAACAAGAAAAGTCTCAACACTGCAGAGCTGAGAACAGCTGCATCAGCCAAAATTTCCACTATGCAACATTTGCATCCTGCCATCTATTGCATCGGTTCATCTTATTATTATTTTTGTAGATGGTGGGGGGAGGGGAGAAAGGGCCACTCTGCACATCCTCCACCCCCCCACCCTATTATTCGTAATCAGCAAAATGCCCTTTGTTATATTGGGTGCTGTGCTAGTGCATGCAAATGAACTGGAGTTTGTGTATTCAACAGATCTGGGGTGGTGGGAGAGCAAACCATATTTCTGTGGGGTTTTGGTGCAGAGAAGAAGAAGAGTTTGGATTTGATATCCCACTTTATCACTGCTGTCAGATGGCTATCGTGGTTGCTCGTGAGTAACCAGGCAGGACTCCGACCTGACTTTTACAGGTTTTATTTGGTGCAAAGCTATTTACAGTGCAGAACCCCAAAGTTCATGTCTGCCTCAATCGCTAGCAGAATCCGGGAGTGGCTTTTTCCGGTTTTGTCCCCAACCTGAGAACTTCATTACCCCCAGCGTTTTTCTTCCTTCTTTGCGCTTTACCCCTCTGCGCAAGGTGGGCAAGGGAGCATCCCCTTATCCCTTTCCCTCTTCCCCACTGGAGGCGTGGCTTTCACCACCGCAGGAAGAGGAACTGCTTTGCAAGACTTTCGGAGGATCCCTGTATCCCAACGGCCCCTCTACCTCCCTTCCCTGTTCCCTGACAACTACCCTAAGGAGTCTCAAAGCGGCTCACAATCTCCTTTCCCTTCCTCCCCCACAACAAACACTCTGTGAGGTGAGTGAGGCTAAGAGACTTCAGAGAAGTGTGACTGGCCCAAGGTCACCCAGCAGCTGCAGGTGGAGGAGCGGGGAAGCGAACCCGGTTCACCAGATTACGAGTCCACCGCTCTTAACCACTACACCACACTCGCTCTCCCTACAGAATCCCAAGCAAGAATGATGGCTGCTAGTGGCTAAACTTTGGCCCCCTGTGCTGCCTTCAATACAAGTGCTTCTACGTTCTCCTCCATAGGAGTGAACAGCAATTTCCTCCTTATTTGGGATGTAACTTAGGGTCACACACTTCAGGGAGGGACCCTGGGGATGCAACGTGCTCTTTGCGGACTGAGATCCACTGCTTTCCTTATCCTACGGTATTTCTGTTTGTGGAAGGAAGGGTAAGGGTAGCTCTGGGGCAACCCCATATGAATTTGAAGCAGGTGACCCAACTACTCAACTTGCAACCCAACCCAAGAGCTGAAATCAACAGTGCATAGAAAGTTGCCAAATCAGAACCACTGGGTCCCTACTATTGTCTACACCAGGCTTCCTCAAACTTGGCCCTCCAGATGTTTTCGGCCTACAACTCCCATGATCCCTAGTTAGCAGGACCAGTGGTCAGGGATGATGGGAGGCTGTAGTCTCAAAATATCTGGAGGGCCGAGTTTGAGGAAGCCTGGTCTACACCGACCGGAAAGGGCTCTCCAGGGTTTCAGGCACCGGGCATTCTGAGCTCCACCAGGAGATGCCAGGATTTGACCCAGGGACCTTTGGAATGCAAAATAGATGCTCTCTCACTGAGCTATGGCCCTTCTTCCCCAGGATAAACAATTTGTTTTGGGTTGAGAAACTGTTGACATGCTCCTGCATAGCATTAACTTCTTACAAAAAGGGGGGGGGAATTAAAAATTACCAGGAGATTTATAATAGCAATGGGCATTCAGGTCAGCAAATCGTGAGCAACAGTGACCAGAACCACCCACGCAAATGCCTCGTCTTATACGACAGGGATAAATCACGCGTGCAAAACGGTGCGTCAAGAGTTGTGGAAATGGGCTACAGGAGGAAGCAAAAGAAAACAAGGTTTTCAAAAGCTGAACAAACATAGCCGGGAGTGTGATTCGGTGTGAGTAAAGAGGCTGTTTTGGCCACTAATGAAGCGAGAGTGTAGCTGGTGACCACAATGTCTGGGGTTCGACCCTGCACCAGACCTGGAGAACCTGTGGCACTAAAGACTGCCGTTTGTCTCCAATGTCCCTCAACCCTAGTCAACATGGCCAACGGTCAGGGATGGTGGGGGAAACAGATATCCCTGATTCCTGCTCTGCGCTTGCAGACTGTCCCAAATCACAGCACGCTTTGCAGTCTAGCAAGCCCCAGGCTGAGCATGCTAGCCTCTGCATGTTGGAAAGTGGCTTTTAAAACTAGAGATCGATGAAGAGTGGTGTGTAGCAGCAAGGTGGTCAAGCTTCATCACAAAAGACAGGTTCTAGAGAGAGCAACAGAGCTCGGTAACCCACAAATCCTGTGCAGACAAACTGACATCAATAAATCCGAGCAGATATAGTTTTGTCCAACGTAACAAGCAGGTGTTTTGCCCAGCAACGCTGGGGCCCTCTTTATCCCAGATACCCATTATTATTTACTGATTTCTACCACGCGGGTGGTGCTGTGGGTTAAACCACAGAGCCTAGGACTTGCCAGTCAGAAGGTCGGCGGTTTGAATCCCCACGACGGGATGAGCTCCCGTTGCTCGGTCCCTGCTCCTGCCAACCTAGCAGTTCGAAAGCACGTCAAAGTGCAAGTAGATAAATAGGTATCGCTCCGGCGGGAAGGTAAACGGCGTTTCCATGAGCTGCTCTGGTTCGCCCTCGGCCAATAAAGCGAGATGAGCGCCGCAACCCCAGAGTCAGTCAAGACTGGACCTAATGGTCAGGGGTCCCTTTACCTTTACCACGCTTCTAATGCACAAAGCCTTTAGGGCAGGGCTAGGGATTTTTTGGACTTCGGATGTTGGTGACTACAACTCTCCCAGCATCCCTGACCATTGGGCATGCTGACTGGGGCTGATGGGAGCTGCAGCAACACCTGCCGCAGCTGCTTTGGGGTCCAGGTGAACACAATCACATCCCTATTGGAAAGACGCAGTTAACCAAGTTATATGCACATTGTGAGAAAGGAGGGGGTGAAAGAATCTGGAGAGATCTACCAGCCAAAGTGGTATCACTGCTGCAGAGTGCCAAATGCAAGACAGCAGCAGCGGCAGCACCATGTGTTTGCACAGCAATAACAACAGACTGCAAGAGGCTATCTCCGTGGTACCCATATCCATGCAGCTCAGACCAGTTCCTTAGCCAGAGGATGCTGTGCTGTAACACAGGAGGCTGCTGCAAAGCAATAGGCCAGCCAGAGGCAGGATGCAATCTTGCACATGGATTTGGCAAAAAATATCTCTACAAAATTAATTCTCCAAGACATACTTGTCTAAAACCCAGCTGCTGCTATTATTATTATTCAGTACATTTATATACCACCCTTCATCCAAAGATCTCAGGGCGGTTCACAAGATAAAAATACAGGATAAAAGAGACTTATACTGTCCCTCCTTTATGTTTCACCTGGGGATGGTAAGCTCTGCTCTAAAGTATCAGCATATTTAAGTGAACCAATACCCCCTATTGCCCACACTGGTTTCAAAAACGTCCCCTTGGCACGTGCAAGGCAGACAATGAAGACACCCCAATCCCTGCTCAAAGGGAATTAAGCTGAGGAACTGTAAAACGAATATTACTGATATGCCTTTAAAGCAAAACACACATGCCCATTCCTCCTACTTGGAATCTCTAACCTCAGGGTCAGCTGTGGTTACTTAAGGAGGAAACTCACTGCACATGCTCAGAAACACCCTTCTCAAGAAACACTTTGGATATTCTGAAGCGGAACAGCGGCAGCAGCAGCTAGCTCCTACGAGGCCCATTGACTTCAACCACCAGAATTTTGCGCTGTGTAAGAGTGTTGCTGTGGGTCCCAGAACTGAATCGAATGCATAGAGTACACCCAGGTCCAGAAGTGTTTGCAGATTTATCCACCTCTGTGTATCGGGGGGAGAGTTCCTCACAAATACAGCTCTAAGGACAGATGAGCCCATCCTTGCCTTCCCAGCCCTTTGACACCTGCGAGTCAAGTCTCTGGGGAAAAGGCTGCGAGTCAGCGGTGGAGCTCGCACTCGGTGTGCAAAAGGTCCCAAGTTCGAATCCTGGCGTCTCCAAGCTGGGGTGGGCAAAATCATAGAGAGCAGCTGCCAGTCAGTGTAGGCATTACTAAGCTAAAGAGACCAACTCTTTGACTGATGAGAAAAGAGCTTCCTATGTGACTATCACAGCCTGGGTGGGAAGATAGATGCCTTATACAGAGTCAGACCATCTACCTCTGTGCTGCCTTCACTGGCTGGCAGCATCTCTCCAGGGTTTCAGGCAGAAATCTATCCCAGCCTTACTGGGGGACGCCGGGAACTGTACCTGGGACCTTCTGCACGCCAAGCAAGTGTTCCAGCTCCTTCCTCTCCAAGAACTGCACCCGTTTGGAGGCGATGCCAACGTGCTCCCCCCTCCCTGGAAACCAACAACCCCGCACGCTCGCGGGCCAGGAGCCTCGCGATCCCCTGCCCCGCCGCCCCGCTTCCCCTTGGATCCCAGCTGGCAAAGTGCCCTTACTCACCCCTGCAGGAGGAGATTACGCCGAGCAACAGCAGCGGCAGCAGAGCCGAGCGCATGGCGAGCGCTGCTCCGGGTTCCCCTCTGCGCATGGGAAGAGCGCCGATCCGCCGGCCGGGATGCCTCGTCGGGCGAACTTTGCCGGAGATCCGAGCCCCGGCAGGATCAGTCCTTTCCTGGGGGTGGAGGAGGAGGGAAGAAGAGCGGCGATCTGGTGGGGCGAAGCCAAGCGCACGTTGCCTTCTCCTTTCCCCTCCTTTGTTGTCCCCGTTTGCTCGGGATCCCCCTCGCCTCTTTTCCCGGAGATCTGCTTGGCAATGGGGGGACCAAGATCCGGGACCCGCAAACCAGCCGATCCTGCGCTTCCAGCTGCGGAGCGAGCCCGGCGTTGCACCACCAATTACCGCAGAGCGCTCGGCTTCCTTTCCTCGCGTCCGCCTTTGGCTGACTGCGCACGCTGCTAGTCCCGATTGCGCACAGCTGCCTTTGTTCGCGGACGCATCAGACGCCTTGCCTGCTGCTGTTGCTGCCGCCCGGACTGCGATCCCGCAAGCTGGGACCCGGCTACTACGATCGAACGCTGAGGAAGGAGACGGCGCCCTGATTGGTCCGTAGCTCTCCAAGCCGGCTCCCTGAATGGCTGGAGGTTTTCCCGAGCGGCGATTGGCCAGAGCGCCTGCCTGTCCGTTGGATCCCGCCCACTCTCTTTTTTTCTCTGCAAGGGAGTGGGTTTCTCTTGGTCAGGCTTGAGGGTCAAACTGCAGATTCCCCACCCCTTTCCAATTATTATGTCGGTGAGCTGAATCATAGAATCGCATGCCCTCCAACATTTGTCCAATTAAAATAGAAACGTCCTATTCTATTATTATTATTATTATTATTATTATTATTATTATTATTATTATTATTATTATTATTCTATCCTGCCACTCTGTTTGGGTTGCCCCAGCCACTCTGGGCAGCTGCCAACATATATATAAAATATAATCAGACATTAGACATTAAAAAAATTCCCTATTCATGGCTGCCTTCAGATGTCTTCTAAAGGCTGTATAGTTACTTATCTCCTTAGTTCAGGGCTTGCATAACTCCATACCCTCCAACATTTCTGAGAATAGGGACATCCTAAGGGATGCGGGTAGCATTCTGATGAGAATAGGGACATCCTAAGGGATGCGGGTAGCGCTGTGGGTTAAACCACAGAGCCTAGGACTTGCCGATCAGAAGGTCGGCGGTTCGAATCCCCGCAACGGGGTGAGCTCCTGTTGCTTGGTCCCAGCTCCTGCCAACCTAGCAGTTCGAAAGCACATCAAAGTGCAAGTAGATAAATAGGTACCGCTTCGGTGGGAAGGTAAACTTTCCATGCGCTGCTCTGGTTCGCCAGAAGCGGCTTAGTCATGCTGGCCACATGACCTGGAAGCTGTACGCCAGCTCCCTCGGCCAATAAAGCAAGATGAGCGCTGCAACCCCAGAGTCGGCCACGACTGGACCTAATGGTCAGGCGTCCCTTTACCTTTACCTTATGGAAAAGCAGGACATTCTGGGAACCAGGATGGCTTCTGTAAATCTGGGACTGTCCCTGGAAAATAGGGACATTTGTAGGGTCTGTCTCACCCCAAGAGACTGGGTTAAGCACTTAGCACCCTCCCATCTCTCCTGGTTCTCAACGCAGGAACATAACAATCAAATACTACCCTAGACTATTCTTTGAACTGTTAAGCTTGAAGATCACCATTGCTGGGGAAAACACATCAAACAATTCCAATGCATGTGCATTTTGACATTTCCTTATTCTTCTTACGCTTGCAACATCCTGAATGCTGGGAAGAAATTGCCACCGGAGATCATTTGGATGGAGGTGGATTGCGCTGTCGGTTGAATGGAAACCAAACCAGTTTGTCTTGTAAAGCGACGGACATGAACTGGAATCAGTTCCCTTTTGGACATGCTGAACTTGAACTCGACCCTTTCCGGGCTCTGTTGCCGCTAGAACTCCTAGGAAGGCGATATAGTTTTAGCTTTATGGCACAATCAAAACATGTTTCTCAGATGCAGCCGAGTCAAGCCGTACAGCAGGCACAGGCAACCTCGGCCCTCCAGATGTTTTGGGACTACAGTTCCCATCATCCCTGACCACTGGTCCTGTTAGCTAGGGATCATGGGAGTTGTAGTCACAAAACATCTGGAGGGGCGAGTTTGCCTATGCCTGCCTTACAGTTTAATTACATCGTCCAATATCACGTGTGCAACCACCGGCTGCTAGCAATGTCCTTGAGCTGTGTGTGTCCTGGCCGAAGAGGACAGTCATTTTCCGTGAGAACAAGCGGGCATAAATAACTGAAATTGTGGGCAATGCAGAGATCAGCCTGAGAGATCTCCAAGGTAACTGGATACTTTTCAGGAGCCCCGAGGAAAGGATTTCTTCACACTGTGCCTAATTGATTTGTGGCATTTGCTGCCACAAGATGTGTTGATTAATGGCCATTTGCTTAGCTAGGTTTAAAGGGGGGGGGTAGAAACATTAATGGTTTGCTAATGGTTGCTGGTCCTCATGAGGAAGGCTAGAAGTGATTGCAGCAACTGGAAATGCTGGAGCAAAAGGTTGCTGAGTGAAGCACTTCCATTTAGGATGCCATCCATTCATCTCTAAGCCCTTTCCCAGGATATTGCATTCCGTCATATTATCCCCCCCTTTTTCATTCCATCTCCTAACAGGATACAAGTCATTGCTCCCAGTACGTTTCCGAGCACAATTCAAAGTGTTGGTGTTGACCTTTAAAGCCCTAAACGGCCTTGGTCCAGTATACCTGAAGGAGCATCTCCACCTCCATCGTTCAGCCCGGACACTGAGGTCCAGAGCCGAGGGCCTTCTGGCGGTTCCCTCATTGCAAGAAGCCAAGTTACAGGGAACCAGGCAGAGGGCCTTCTCGGTGGTGGTGCCCACCCTATGGAACGCCCTCCCATCAGAGGTCAAAGAGATAAACAACTACCTGACATTCATAAGACATCTGAAGGCAGCCCTCTTCAGGGAAGTTTTTAATGTGTGATATTTTAATGTGTTTTTAATCTTTGTTGGAAGCCGCCCAGAGTGGCTGGGGAAACCCAGCCAGATGGGCGGGGTACAAATAATAAAATTATTATTATTATTATTATTATTATTATTATTATTATTATTATTGCAAAATTGGGGTGCACTGTGGCAGAATCCTTCAGAGCAGAATACTCCTGTTCAGGGTGCCAGCCAGCCAGCCATGCCCTGTTCCAGGACACTCCATTCCACTCCCCTCTCTTTTGCTTTTCGCCTCCAACAGATATGTAGCATTCTCTGACTGCTGACCACGCTCAGTCCCCACATGGCTCTTTAGCAATCCCACTGCGAACACAGACCGCTATGTCTTGCACCACAAGGTACAAGAAAGCACATTAGAAATCTGTTCAACCTCAGCACTCTCCATATAAGGCTTCCTCAAATCCGGCCCTCCAGATGTTGTTGGCCTACAACTCCCATGATCCCTAGCTAGCAGGACCAGTGGTCTGGGATGATGGGAATTGTAGTCTCAAAACATCTGGAGGGCCGAGTTTGAGGAAGTATGCTCCATATGGCGATCATTTTACCTCATCCCTTTATCTGAATAGAAACCCAGAGAAGCAAAGGGACTAGTAATGGCCTCCTCAATACCAAAAACCAGCTTCTCCAGCTGCTAACATGTGGCCTGGTCAGCCACCTGTGGCTACTTATGTTCACTGCTATTCCCATTTCACAGGTAGGAGGACTGAGGCCAAGAGATGGCGACTTGTCCAGTCCTGTCCCAACCGAGAGAGCCCATTGCTCCATGGTAGAGTAAGGTTACCAGGTTTTTTCCAATGAATCTGGGGACACTTATTGTTTGTTATGTACATGTGAATGCTGAGAAAGCTGTAAATCCAGGGACTGTCCCCGGGAAACGGGGACATCTGGTAACATCCTGGACATGCCAAAAGTACATGTTCAGTCCCTGGCATCTGTAAGTAGGGTTGGGAGAGACCCTTGTCTGAAACCATTGCCAGTCAGTGTAGATCAGAGTTTCTCAAACTTGGGTCTCCAGCTGTTTTTGGACTACAACTCCCATCATCCCTAGCTAGCAGGACCAGTGGTCAGGGATGGTGGGAATTGTAGTCCAAAAAACAGCAGGAGACCCAACTTTGGGAAACCCTGGTGTAGATCATGGGGTAGGTAACATTGTGCTCTCCAGATGTTGACCACAGCTCCTGTCAACCCCAGCCAACCCAGCTGATGGACAGGAATGATGGGAGTTGGAGTGCAACATCCTCTGGAACAGGCATCCCCAAACTCGGCCCTCCAGATGTTTTGGGACTACAATTTCCATCATCCCTGACCACTGGTCCTGCTAGCTTGGGATGATGGGAGTTGTAGTCTCAACTCCCGAGTTTGGGGATGCCTGCTCTGGAAGGCTTCCTATTGGCTACCCCAGGTGTAGGCAATATTGAGCTACAATGGATCAATGATCTGACTTGGTACAAGGCTCTGGTCAGACCTCACCTGGAGTACTGTGTCCAGTTCTGGGCACCACAGTTCAAGAAGGACACTGACAAACTGGAACGTGTCCAGAGGAGGGCAACCAAAATGGTCAAAGGCCTGGAAACGATGCCTTATGAGGAACGGCTAAGGGAGCTGGGCATGTTTAGCCTGGAGAAGATGAGGTTAAGGGGTGATATGATAGCCATGTTCAAATATATAAAAGGATGTCACATAGAGGAGGGAGAAAGGTTGTTTTCTGCTGCTCCAGAGAAGCGGACACGGAGCAATGGATCCAAACTACAAGAAAGAAGATTCCACCTAAACATTAGGAAGAACTTCCTGACAGTGAGAGCTGTTTGACAGTGGAATTTGCTGCCAAGGAGTGTGGTGGAGTCTCCTTCTTTGGAGGTCTTTAAGCAGAGGCTTGACAACCATATGTCAGGAGTGCTCTGATGGTGTTTCCTGCTTGGCAGGGGGTTGGACTCGATGGCCCTTGGGGTCTCTTCCAACTCTATGATTCTATGATTCTATGAAGGCAGATTTCCATGTCCGCATGACTACCCCACCTCCCTTAGCTGTGGATTCAACCCAATAAGAATCCAGAGTTTTGTCCAGATCTTCCTGGACGACCAGCTGTCTGGCCAGTGTTGCACAGCTCAGATGAAATGTACAGACAGAAGCAATGCAGACCCATGGCTGTGAATTGGGCCCATTGTCTTCCTAGCTGTGCCATATTGTGATAGGGCATTTAGGCCAGATGTCAAACAGCTACTGATTTAAGCTTTGCCAGTGGTACCACTCAGTATCAAGGCATTGGTGTCACCAGGCTGGAAGGCTCCTGGTAGCTGCCTCTGACACACCGGATACTGAGTAGCAGCCAAACTACATGTTACATACAAACACGCGAGGAGCAGAAAATGTTCTGCTGCTGCATTTTCCCACGGGGCATTTTATCATGTCTCAACCCCACCTCCGGCTGTTTCATGAAATTAATGCAGATTGTAATGCATGGATTACGTGGGCGGCGCTGTGGGTTAAACCACAGAGCCTAGGACTTGCCAATCAGAAGGTCGGTGGTTCAAATCCCCGCGATGCGGTCAGCTCCCATTGCTTGGTCCCTGCTCCTGCCAACCTAGCAGTTTGAAAACACGTCAAAGTGCAAGTAAATAAATAGGTACCGCTCTGGCGGGAAGGTAAACG